TTCTTAGCGCTGGTTGGTGTTAAAGCGCGACCCGGTTTTTATTTCTCAGTGCACAAGTTATGTGCCTGGTTGCTGTGTGAACCTAGTGGAGTGACTAGGAAACCTAATTTACTCAAACATTTGCGTGTTGATGTGGCACTTGGGGAAAAACAACATGATCATCCTTTATCAGCTGGCACATTCTGTCTTCCAGTTCTGTGCTTAGGAAAACTTCTTGGCTTGTGTTTGACTATGTAGGGTGCAAACTGTAGTAGCTTTCTCTTAGAGTTACGAAGCGTAAGTGAGATCATCTGTATAACATGCTACAAAATGAGATACTGTCATCCGTAGGATCCACTCACTATCATCATTGTCATGGAGGCAACAGCATTACAAATCTCTTCTGCTTGCACCTCAGAGCTGCTGAAAATCCACAAAACAAAAAGCAGAAAGCAGCTGCTTCGCATTCTTGCTAGGGGAGCTGCATTTTAAAGAAATCTTAAGGTGGATCTGATTCTTAGGATAAATCAGAATAAATGGCAAAGATGTTCCAAAAGGCATCACTAAGGGCTTTGAGTGCAGACGGAGTAACAATGATGGGAATAAAAAAAAGAATGAAAAAAATGCCTCTGAATCGGTCGCCCAGGGTTAAGAGAAGGAAATTTCCCAGTGGCAGCTGTGGTTGACCTCAGAGGGATGGCAAGGTGACCAGGTCCACAGCCAGCGCTGCCCTGCAACTTTTTGGCATACCCTGTACTAGTAGGCATGCCTGCTGGCTTGATGGGATTGCCCAGTTTAATTTCATTTCATCTGGCGCTGGAGCGTTCACATTTTACAACATTTCCTACAAATACATCAACAGAGGTGAGCATGTCAAACAAAGGGGAAGCAGCTACGACTGTCATTTAGGGGCGGAAGGAGCATCTCAATGCAGAGTCCAGCAGGTTTGGAAGATTCATTTTCAGCAGAGAGAAGCAGACACTAGAGCCAGAATTTGGGGCCAGCAGGAGACAAACGCTTTAGAAATGAACGCTGTAAACTTCTGCATCCTCCACGCACCTCCGCGGCTTGGTTTGGGCTGTTTTTAGAAGCCAGACTTTAAAACCTCCTGTTTCTGATCTTACTCTAACCGCTGTAAACAAGAGGAGAGGGAAGGGAAAAGTTTGTGGACATGAACGCTGGGGCTGATGAGTCATCACCCAAAAATGTAGGGCCTAACAGCAGAATTATGCGCCATGACTTTGTGCTGAGTTTATCAACCTGTGGTGACCCAGAACACAGCCAGTGTGCCTGTACAGAGGAGGAAGGCTGTTATGAGCTGTCATGTTCTCCCCAAATATATGCTGGGTCCTAACCCCCAGTACTTCAGAATTGATCTTATTTGAAGAGAAGATTTCCACAGAGCCAATCCAGATAGAAGGACATTTTCAGAGTAGGATCTGATCCAGTATGACTGGTGTCCATATAAAACAGGAAAATTTGGACACAGACTTGTACAAAATAAGGATGGCATGGGCAGGTCGGGGCATAGGTTTAGTGACTTATTTACAAGCTGAGGAACACCAAGCATGACCAACAAATCACCAGGCCTAGTGATCAGGCAGGGGACAGATTCTCTCTCTAAACTTTGGAGGAAACCAACCCAGCAGACACCTTGATCTCAGACCTCAGCTCTCACATCTGGGAGACAATAAATGCCATGATCCAAGCTTTCCAGTCTATAGCATTTGTTACAGAGTCCTACAGAATGGATCCAAAGGGTCCCATGGTAGTAGACACTAGGTGACCATAACCAGGCAGGGCAGTAAGGACAAGGAACAGCAGCTGGAGAGCATCTTTGTGTTTCTCTGTCCAAAGCTTCTCTGAGAATCTGGCTTTATCACAGGCTCTAATGTATGTGCACTGGAGACAGCAGAAATAACCTACTAAGTGTGGGAATAAACAGCAGAGGGGCATATCAGGTGGGGTCACGGGATAAAACTGCAGAAGTACTCTTTTCTTTAAATTATTTGAAAGGCACTTGGTTGCCAGCCCCTTATCCATAGAGGAGTGACTTCCAGGGAAGTTACAGCTACAGAAGGAAGATGGGCAGCCTTTGCTTTCTTTCTGCCACTTCTCCACTCTCCTTTTCCTTAGCCTTAGATAATCAAATGCTATCTGTTGAACTAGTTCCTATATATCTTGGACTATATGGACTAGGGAAGATTAGAGTGCTGCCTCAAAATGCTTAAAATATAGCAGGAAAGCTAAGTGTCTGTTTTCTGTTGCTATAACAAAATATCCAAGGCTGGGATCTTATAAAGTAAAGAGGTTTGTGTGGCTCATGACTCTGGTGGCAGGAGGGTCCAAACACAGCAGAGCCTCCTGGGTGTGTCACAGCATGGTGAATGGGTAGAAAGGGTGTGGGCCATATGCAGAAGGGACAGAGAGGCCAGGTGGCAAAACAGGAAGCAAGAAACCTGAGAGGGCCAGGCTGGATATTTTTATTTATTTATAACAGCCTGCCTTTAGGGGAACTAATCTACTCCTACCAGACCTGACCAACTGTCTTAGTCACGCTCTCCTTGCTGGGACAATGTACCCAACATGTGCATCTTGAAGGAGTCAGGGTTCATTTGGGTTCACAGTTTTACTGGTTGCAGTCCATCATTGGCTGGTTCCTAGGCAGGACAGCATGGCAGAGGGAACTGGTGGAGGAGAGCTGCTCACTGCATGGTGTCCAGGGAGCAGAGAGAGAAAGGAGGAGGCTGGGAAGCCTAAGTGCTGCTGCCACTGATGGTCTGTACCTGCCCCAGGTCTCCTCTGCAGAACTGAATAGCCAACTATGAAGAGTTTAGTTTAGTTCATGACTTTAAAGTCAATCTTTCTAAAGTATTATAAATCTGAGGCCCTCGAGCAGGATTTAGTAGCTATCTGTTATTACATTTAGGAAGTTCTCTTCTGTTCTTAGTTTTTTCAGAGAGTTTTTAAAAAATCATGAATATTATGGAATTTTATCAAGTACCTCTTTTTAAAAAATCTGCCTGAGATGTTTTTCTCCTATACTTTTAATAGGGTTAGTCAGATGAATAGCTTTTATGATTTTTAATCATTGATCTTATCCTAGGAAAACTGCAATGGGTCATGAAGGTTATTATTCCATGTGATGAGTGACAGATATATTTCATAAAAATGGCTTCAACAAGGTCTTCCTTCTCCATCACTGTTCCAACACTATGGCTTCTTCTTCCTTTGGAGAGTTGGGCTAATGTTCCTCCATGGGATTTTGAATGTGCCATGGCTGTGGTAGGATTTTCAAGTTCTGGCCATAAGAGGAGGGCTGCTTCAGCCAGGTTCTCTGGAGCTGTGTGCTCTTGGCTCCCAGCCCATGAGGTCAGAAAGTTCCCAGATCCTGCTTAGACTCAAATGGAGGAGTGGGTAGACTGCATAAAAAAGAAATTGAGAAAAAAACTGGCTGCTGGTTCATCGGAGGAGCTCTAGTCTTTGCCTTCAGTTTGGTTGTCTCCTGGCTTCTGGTGCAGACTGTTTGGCTTCTGCCTGGGACTCTTCAGCCTTCTGGTGTTGGCTCTCCGCCCTTCATCATAGATTCTTCAACATTCTATCACAGACCCATCAGCCCCTTTGATACGGACTTGCACGGACACTGCAGCAAGCTCCAGGCCCAGGGCTGGGCTCTTCAATCTCCAGCGTGCAGACACCCTCTGCACGCTTCCTCATCCAACTCGGTAGCTGATCAGTGTAAACCAAACTTAGAATTTCTTATACATTTATTTATCTTGTATTATATCTTGTATTTATCTTGTTCCTCTAATAAACCCTGACTGATACAGAGGAGTTCTGTGGTCTCCAGCCACAGCTGAGACCCAGCGTCCATGTGGCAGCAGGTGGGTACCATCTTGAAAGCTGATTCTTCAGTCCCCAGTGGGGCACCTCCAGTAGGTGAGAAGGGACACAGGCAGGTGGGCTGTGGATGCTACCCTCAGCTCACATCACAGCCTTGTAAGCACAATAAGATACAGAAGTCATTTTAAACCAGTGTGTGTGGAGGTGTTTGTTATAACTGATACATGATAATTGATCTTGTTTGCTGATATTTTAATATTTTTGCATCTACTTCCATAAGGAAGCACTACCGACACTTTTCCTATTGTCCTTGAAGCTTTATTTTCATCTCAAAGCCACACCATGCTTTTGAAATGGGCTGGAATGTATTTCTAGGTTTTTTCTAGTCTCCAACAGTGTCTGGGGAAGTTTGAAATTATTTGTTCTCTAATGTTTGATTAAAAAATAGCCTTTGTATAAAAAGCGTTAGGGCTTACGCATTTTCTCTTTTCTCTTTGGAAGAGATTTTTTGCTCACTGGGAAGTTATTGAAAGGATGGACTCTATTCTGATTTTCTAAGTTAGTTTAATGTTTGGATTTTCTTAGAAAATTGCTCATATCCCCGAAGCTTGCAAAATTACAAACATCCACACAAGTTTCGCTGTGACTAGGCTGGGTCTCCTCGCTTGTTCATAAGCATTTTCTCTTCCCTTTGGTTCTTTGCTCAGACTCGACCAGCTTTCCCTTAATGCTCATTTTTCTAGCTGCTAATGCCACCGGAAAGAAGACCAAAGAACTAGTTTCTATTTTTGTTAATGCCTCTCTGCTCCCCCAGAACTGAGGATTGAACCTAGGACTACGAGCTACTCTATGTATGTGTGTATGTATGTATGTATGTGTTTATCTACCTGTAGGGTCTCGCTAGTTTGCTAAATTGTCCTGGCTGGGCTCTAATTTACAATCATCCTGCCTCAGCTCCTACCTGGCTCACTGTCTGTCTTTATTTTATCATTTCCTTTGGTGTGTGTGCTTGCTTTCTTGCTTTTTTTCCTTTTTTTCCCCCTAACTTTAAAAAATGAACTCTTGGCTTACTATTCCCTGCTGTTTGCAGTCTGCGGATCACACACACGCTACAGTCCACCTAGGCAGCCTCAAGCCCCGCCCACTAGCCCCGCCCCCGACGGAAGCGGAAGTGCTCTTGGCCTGGGCGGAAATAGGAAGTGGGCGAGCCGGGGAGACGGCTGAGACCCTTAAGGCTGCGGCTGTGGAGCTGGGCTGGCGCCGGGCAGATGGCGGAGAAGTTTGACCACCTGGAGGAGCACCTGGAGAAGTTCGTGGAGAACATCCGGCAGCTGGGCATCATCGTCAGCGACTTCCAGCCCAGCAGCCAGACCGGGCTCAACCAGAAGCTGTGAGTGGCGGGCGCCGCCCCCGCCCGGGCCGGGGCGCTCGGCTGGGTCCCGGCGGAGGAGCCCGCCTGCTGTGCCCGCTTCTCCGGCTCGCGGACCCCGGCCCGGCCGCAGCCCCCGGGAGGCTGGGAGCGGGTGGGCGGCCGCGCCGGGAGCCCTTCCCCGACTTCCCTCTTGCCCGGCGCTGGCCCTGCTGCTGGGCCCTGGAGTGGAGCAGGCGCAGACCCGAGGGCTGGTCGGAGAAGTGGTGCGCGTTTAAAATGTTAAACATTTTCCACAGTAAAAGACACAGAGCCGGGAGTCCTCCTCAGAATACTGCGTCTCGCTTCTAACACACATCCCGTCGCTCTTGCCACCTTCTGAAGCAGTTCAGATTTTTTTAAAAAAATCGCTGTATTTATTGATCACATCCATGTGCAAAATGAAAATGCTCCGGAGAAGGGCTCACCGCTTCTCAAGAGGCACGGATGTGCAAATCACTGCCTCAGGGTTGCACGCAGCAGTGCCGCAGGAATGACCAGGGCTCCCGCGCTGGCTGGGTGATCTGGCCCGGCCGAGGGAGCTGAAGTTAAACGGGGCAGGACGTTTCTCTCCCTCGGATTCTTCAGCCAGTGCTGAAGCGGGCGTCTCTTGCTTCACTAATCCCCGTACAAAGTCACGAGCAGGACTGGGTTAATGTTTTCGAGAGGTTCCGATTTGTATTTGAGTCTCAAAAAGTTGTTCCCCCCGTATTGGCAGTGTCTAGAAGGAAAATCAGATGTTTGAGGGTACAGTGTTTCACAGCTCCACCTTTGTGAGTCTCTTGTGCCCCGTGCAGGTGTTGCACGGGCACCGCTGTGGTCAGGTGGCCCTGTGAGGGTGCTGATGCTGCCACCTGAATTAACCAAGTGCCCCTGTTTTTGCCTCCCTCCCAGGAATTTCATCGTCACTGGTTTACAGGATATAGATAAGTGCAGACAGCAGCTTCACGACATTACTGTCCCTTTAGAAGTTTTTGAGTAAGTATCATGCTTGGTGTTAATCTGGGGTGTGAATCTTCAGCCCCAGTGGTGAGTGCTCCCTGTATAGGGGGGCATACCCTAGGGCCCTGGTGGCGAACTTATGGCTTGGGTGCGTGCTGTTTTTCTTTTAAGACAATATGTTTGTGTATGAGTTGTTTTTTCTACGCTAACTCCTTGGTATTCAGTTTAATTGCAGCGCTGGCACTTGGGGGTAAATCACTGGGTTTTGGGCTGCAGTGTGAGCATTTGTGTCTGAAAGGTTCACCACCATTGGCCTAGGTGCTGGGTATTTGCCAGTGGAAAAAATAGGCCAAAATACCTGCCTTTCTGCAGCGCAGTGTACTAATAATGGTATAAAAAAATCAAACGAACGGAAAGGAATCATCACAGCATTGTGTTGTTGATAAAAGGTTACATGTAAATAAAAGTTTATCAAATGTGTAAAGCACCATAGGGTTTCAAGTCCTGTGAAAAAGCATTTAGGCTAAGGAACAACCTTGTAACTTTCCTTTTTCCCTGAGGTAAAAAATCTTACTTAGGCTGTGTTATAAATTAAAAGAAGGATGTGACCGCTAGACACGGGCTGGGAAGCAGCGTGGTGTGGTGTTTCCTACACCGCCTGTGGCGTGTGAGCCGGGAGTGGGTGTTACTGGTTTTCGGGCAGGAGTGAGGTCCGAGGGTAAGCACCTTGGAAGGCTGGCGGTTTCCTCCTGGGGGCCTTGCCCCTGTCGCGCATTGGCCTGGAGCGCCTCCAGGCAGTGAGATATCTGGGTTTCATATCTCACCGTTGTGGCCTTGTCCTGGTTTCACTGGCGAAAGGACTGAGTAACTCATTGGGCTCCCTGGTTGCTGGGGGGCAGTTAAGGCTGAACCCCAGGACTCGCCCCACACTGGGGTCGTTTCCCTTGTGCGGCACAGCCTTGCCCTCCTGGCTCCGAGTGCCAAGGACCTCTCAGGGTGTTTTGTAGCGAAACTTGCGCTGGATTTCCTCGCACAGTACAGGGAAAGCTGTGGTTGTCCCCACCCCCAAAGGCAGAGGTGCAAGTGCTAGTTAGAACACGCCTCAGCCGCTCGCCAAGGTGAACCGCTAGGCCTCCGTTCAGGGTCTCTGCTGCTCGCTCCCGCCCCTGCTCCCTGCCCGTTCTCCGTCAGTGCCGCTGAGGCCTCTACCATGCAGCTGCACCCACACCGGTGGGCTCAGCAGTGTGGTCCATGTGGCGCCGTTCCGAGCCCTCAGGCCACAGCGGGGATAGGAGGGGTCTTCCTTAGTGCTGCTCTGGCCCCGAATGTGTGCGCACAGGGGCAGGAGTACCCCAGTGACTGAGGTCTGCTGTGGTGGGGTGGTTGGAAGGGGGGCCAAAAGCAGGGGATTGCACAGGACCTCAAGGCAGCGCAGTGGCGGGGGAGTGACGGGAGGTTGATCTGGGGTCTTGGCCACAGGCCCTGGGCAGCAGACACTGGCTTCTCTGCACACTGCCTGGTGTTACGGGCACAGAAGATGCGCCAGGTCCCCGGTGGCCTTGTTAGCAGGTGCACAGAGACTCTGAAGCAAAGATAGAAATAAAGCTTGGCTCTCCCTTGGTCCTCCGGGTGCTGCTGGCAGAAGTGGGGGCACCCCTGGTCTGCACGAGCCCGGCTGAGCGTGAGGACTTTGCTGTTTAGCAGGACTCAGGATGGGTGTGCGTGTCCAATGTGAGCTTGTCTGGTACTTCTTTCTTTTCTGAAAAATGGTTGGGTTTTATTTAGATTTAAACATAATTTTGTTTCTGTCACTTCTGAACATTAAAATAAAATGGAATTTCAAAAATGGTTTAGGTTTTGCTATCAGTCATGAAGAGGAGTTTTTATACCATTACAGCCACTTAGTGGTGCCCTTAACCCAAAGTGGGTATGCATTTTTTGTCCTAGTTTTAAATAAATACATAGATAGGACTTAGGGTTAGTGTGGTATGTTTTTTAAAAAATGCCTCTGTAATGAAGAACTCAATTTAGCTAAATGATAGAGACTTCCTTATGATACAGAAATGGACAGGGCGCCTGTCTGTAAAATTTGGGTGTTGATCTCGGTGGTACAATTCATGGACTCTTCAGGATAATGGTGGTATTTCGGGGAGAAGTATTGAAGATATCAGGAAACAGTTTTGTTCTGTTGAGAAATAATGAGAGAGAATCTCCTGCGTGTTTCACTTACTTAGTGTGTTTGGTAAAGAGTCATGTTGGTTAATCCCTGCCCCTTTTTTAGAGCATTGGAACCCTTTGTAGAAGCACTCGGGGCAGCCGGGCTGTGGCCTTTCTGGCTGTAGCCGTCCCTTCCTTTCTCTGTGCGTGGCCCTGAAAGCCCTCCACATGGCTTCCCGGGCCTCGGGGGACCTGGTGGGGTCACCGTAGTTGAGCAGAGCCCTGTGTCCCGCAGACACCTGTACCACCATGTCAGGTCTGCTGTCGGGCTCGTGCTCTCCTCACGGGCTCTGTGGGCTCACAAAGGTCACAGTGTGAGGGCGTTTGGGGAAATACAAATGCTGAACACACCAGCGCTGTGTCGAGGAAGCTTCCTGGGTTTGTAAGTCAGTGATCATGACTTGGTTTCCTGAGCTGTCCTAAGAAATAAGAAGAGCCGAGGCGGAAATGAGAGACTCTCGGTTCCCCTGGCTCCGGACTCGGTCTCCTCTCAGCCGGGGCATGGGAAGGTGAGTGTGGTGAGCTGGTGTTGGGCCATAGTTCCTGGTAGCCGTGAGAGTCGGCTTCCCTGTGAGCGTTTAACTGAGCTGTTGCCTGTTTCCAGGTACATCGATCAAGGTCGGAACCCCCAGCTCTACACCAAAGAGTGCCTGGAGAGGGCTCTAGCCAAAAATGAGCAGGTTAAAGGCAAGATCGACACCATGAAGGTGAGACTCACGAGCAGCAGGTCGCGTCAGAGCGTACGCTCAAAAGAGCTCTTCCCCCGTGGCTACAGTAGACTGCGGCTCTTTTTCTTGCTCAGTGGAACACTGACTATTTCATAACATGTGGCGGTTGTGTAAATAAATAATCTCACCGTAAGATCCAGGTTAATTTTGGTGGTTCCAGTCATCCCTGGCTAACCGTGGCTGTTTTCACTTAAGACTACGGGGTGAGCATTGCCCTGTGATAGAACTGATGCTTTCTGCTTCCTTTTGTACTGATTCTTGCAAAGGCCTTTCCTGCATTCATGGTCCTTTGCTTTACTGAGAGGATTCTGGGATAGTTACTTTCCTGTCTTTACCATCCAGTTGTTGTCTCCAGCTCCTAACCTTCAGGCTCCTTCTTACTGTTCCTTACTGCCATGAGACTCTCTTGTAGAGCTTGTTTCCTTTGCCTTGGTGGCATTTACAGCACTCTGCATTTTGAACATAAGTAATTTACACTGATCGAACGGTGGCTCCCGTTGGTGTTTTTATGTGGCTCTCCCTGGCCTCACGTGGTGTGGCCCACGTGCCGTGTACGGCGTGCTCTGCGTGGCCGGGTCCCCAAGCACGCTGTTTGCTTCCCCAGTGCTGTGCGTCCTCCTGGAGCCCTCTGTCCCTGTGCACCGCGCCGCTGTCCTCAGGGCTCGCCGCCTCCGAGCACACTGTCTGGGCGCTGGGTGTTCTCCTCTTTGCTGTTTTCCTCTGCCTGTGGGTGTAGGTCCAGGACCAGGCACGCAGCCCTTCTGCTCCCATGACTGCAGTGTGGCACTGGTGGCGGCCTGGCACAGTGCTTGGTGGGCTGATGTGTGCAGGGGTGGGTCCCAGAGAGGCCTCCAGGCGCTCAGGTGGCTTTGGCGAGAGGAGCGAAGGGTAGGCTCCTGAAGCTGCGGTGTTTGCCGTACATTATGTCCATCCAGGTGCTCTGCGTGCTGTTTGCCAGTGACTAATGGCTTCATTAAGTGTTATTTGAAATTCTCGTTTTGTGTGCTGTCTGCAGAAGGCATGTGGCCTGTGTGCCAGGCTCGCCAGGGGTGCTTGTTCTGGCAGGCAGCAGAAAGTGGTGCAGGTGTGGTCCTCCTGGCTGGTGGCCGTGCCCTGTGCCATGGCTGCACATGTGCTTCCGTGACTGCCCCCCGCTCTGCACGCGTGGCGCGAATGGGCCCACCCCGAGAGGAGGGAGCCTGGTTTCTGCTCCTGTGGGGACCCCCCGAATATTGAGGGCTCTGTGGGGGTGTGATGGCTCTCAAATGCAAGTGTTTTCATGTGTGTATTTTCCTTCTTAGAAATTTAAGAGCCTGTTGATTCAAGAGCTGTCTAAAGTTTTTCCAGAAGACATGGCTAAGTACCGAAGCATCCGGGGAGAGGATCACCCGCCGTCCTAAGTGTGCGACACCCCAGATCCCCAGGAATTCCCGGGATGGAGCCGGCGGGGGCCTGTGACCGTCAGCACTAACCCTCTTTGCCCACAAGGACTGGCCCGGGACTGTGCCCAGTCCCTGTCCCCATCGTCTGACCTGGTGGGGTGGCGGAGCTGGTGGAGGCACGGAGCTGTGACCTCACATTGGCGGTCACAGGTCCTTGAGGGAGAGGGGCACAGAAAACAGTTTTGGAAATAATCAATACGATGGATAAATTGAAAGTTAAAAAATTCCATTTGAATTTTTATATGTATTCTTTTTGTTCCATTCTACTGTGGCTTTAGAAAACTAAAAAATTGGTTTTGTATTTTACATTTTCAAGTGCAGTTCATAAAGACTGCACTGTTTTTGCAGTTTCAGTTGGACATGTGTACAGTAAAGTCTTTTAAGTATTCATATGGGGGGCTGGGGATTTAGCTCAGCGGCAAAAAGCGCCTGCCTGGCAAGCGCAAGGTCGTGAGTTCGGTTCCCGGTACCGGAGAAAAACCAAAAAAAAAAAAAAAAAAAAAAAAAAAAAAAAAAAAGTATTCATATGGTTCATTCTATGTAATTATTTTTTCATTGTATTCATTGTAAGATGGTACAGTATATCTCATTATTACTTCCCCAAAGTGTTAGTAATGTTTATAAGATAGATTTTTTCTCTGTGGGCATTTGGGCAGGAAAAGCTAGAGCAAAATGGAGAATTCTGGTTTTTTTCTACAACTCTTTGGAGGGCCTGAGAAGTACTAAGGGACATGGAGTTACCTATCTCCAGATGCTCTGGGGGGTGGAAGATGCCCACAGGCCGCCGCACGGCAGCTTTAGGTTGTGCCGGGCACGGGAGCGGTAAACTGCAGCGCCTCACTGAGCAGGGGCGGCAGAGCTGCACTCGGGCCAGCCCCGTGGGTCCCGCTCCCCGTTCCTTAGAGGGAAGAGCCCCAGTTCAGACCTCCGGAGTCAGGCTTGGGATGGGCAAGAACCCGTGCGGTTCCTTCACTTCCTCTATGTGACCCGGGCTGCTGACCGTGAGGGGAGCGTGGCCAGCGCCCAGCCCAGGTGGCTCAGACAACAGAAGGTCAGCTCACGGCTCCGGAGGCTGGAAGTCCGAGGTCCCCGCTCAGAGCTCAGAACAGCCGGGTTCTTTGCTCTATTTCTACTCACCCAAGGAAAGCTGTGGCTCAGATGGTGCCATTTGATGGTGTTCTGTGCCGTGCTTAGAACGAAGGGACTCCGTGTACATGAGGCAGACGGTCAAGATGTGCGCGCACTACCTGTGACCCAGCGCTCTGGGAGGCAGAGGCAGGAGAATCACAAGTTTGAGCTCAGCTCAGGCAATTTGGCAACTTAGACCTTGTCTCCAAAAAAGGGGGGGTGCTGGGGACATAGCTCTGTGTGAAGGCCCTGCCCCCACCTCCAGTACCATCCTAAATAAATAACCAAACACCCCGACACGTGCTTGGTCAGGAAACATGAGTGGAGTGCGTGCTCCGAGCTGTGTGAGGCTCCCTAGCCTCACACTGTCGGGCTGAGGCACTTGCCGGTTCCGGGGCCTCCCCAGAGCTGCCTGGTGTCCTCTCCTCTCGGCCCTAAGCTGTGCGCTCCTCGGCCCCTACACTGGCAGGCTCGGCTACCTCACGGCCCCAGGCACAGTCTTGGCCCGAGATCCTGGGTTCACACTCTGCCCGCTCATCCGAGTTCTGCCCGCTCACCCAGCTTCTGGTTTCAGTGCACGTGCCTGTTGGCAGGAGCCTCAAGCGCAGCACCCAGAGCTGGGCCACCCTCTTCCCCCCACCTCCTCCCACCCCCCAGCAAATGGTGCCACCTTCCTATCATACCACCCTTGCTTCCGCTCAGTCCCTCCCACTCTGGCATTGCAGTGTAGCCATTGCTAAGTGTCGAATTTCCCATTTTGCCCTTTCCCACCTAACCAGCCCTTCTGGCCTTGTATCTCCTGGCCTGCTGTATGCATGCCTCGTAGATGCTTGTATTACACCTCACCCCCTTGCCTGGCCCTCTTGCAGCTCAGGTTGCGGGGTGAAAAGCTCTGATGATAGGGAAAAGGTTCTCCCTCAAAACCTCCAAGGGAAGAGCTGCCCTCCTGACATCTTGATACCGGGTCTCTGGGTCCCCGAGCTGTACAAAAATGGATTCCCATTGTTGGGTGTGTGATAATCTCTCACAGCAGCGACAAGAAAGGAACACCCTGCCTGTCCGAGCAGGGAAGGAACATGAGATAGAAGAGGCTGTCTGTTACTGCTTTTGAAAACATGAGTGCCTAGTTGTGCAGTCCTGGCTGCCTCACTGTCCTGATTGACTCGAAGTGTCTCCCTTTCATGGTCATTTTGGCTGGCAAAGAGCCAGAAGTAGCGTGGTGCCAGGTTCAGCGGGTAAAGTGGCCTTGGACATGCTACAATTGTTTCACTAATCTGCCTTTCCATTGGATGGCACTCAGGAGCAGCATTCACTGTATTTTTGATCATGAAGACACTCAGAAAGGACTTCCAGACTTTAGAAAGTGGCAAGAAGGATGGGATAAGTGTGTTCCAAGCGAGAGGGAGTGTTTTGTGGGGGGCTAGGGCAATGTATCCTTTACGAGAATAAAATTTAAAAACTTCACTGTATTTTTTGATCACCCCTTGTGTAATCACCCTATTATGCTGGCAGCGTAGTTGTCACAGCCCTGTCTAACCTGAGATTCTCACAGTACTGTACTTCACATGCAAAATCACTGTCCCACAAAACTGTGCGGAGGAGGTACTGGAAGTGAATGAACGCACTGAGGATCTCTTGTTCTGCTTTTTGTGAGAATTCCCATTGTTCTGTCATTGGAGGTTAATGAGAGAGCTAGCGATTGCTCTGAGGAGGAGCCCTTGGCGAAGGACGAAGGGACAGCTGAGAGTTCCTGCTATCCCGGGTCCCTGTGCCACTGGCATGGGTTTCCAGGGCTGCTGTGAAAATCCCTGTCCACCTCGGGCCGTGAGGCGGCCCAGGTTTGCCCACCCCCCAAGCCTGGAGCCAGGACTGCTTTGTGATCACCCTTTGGCAGGGCTGGGCTCCCTCTCACGGTCCCGGCGATCCTTCCTGCCTCTTCCCGCTCCTGCGAGTCTGCCCTATGACCTCCTTTCTAGGTCTTTTCTAAATAAGGGTGCACACAGATTCCAGGTGAGCATAGCCTTCTGAGGCGCCGCCACCACCCAGCCCTCCACACTGCCATCTCCGCAGGTCTGGGCACCAGGCACCTCTCCAGGTTGGGTGGCCTCGCTTGGCTGGGTCGGGTCTCGGCCTGTGTTCCCGGGTGCACTGGGGCTCAGCTGCTGCCCACGGCCGTGCTTGTGCCCAGCCCCTCCCACTGCAGATGGCCTGCAAGTTGCAGGAGAGGATCAAGCACGCAAAAACACTGCCATTGTGTCTGTCCGCACAGTCAGAAGAAATCGCGCATGGGAAGACAAAGGAGCAGTGTTATGGCAGTGGCAGCTGAGCAGGCAGGAGTCCTTGCGGGTGGCCTTGAGGTGCACATGCTTCGGTACCAACCTCATTATTGCAAGTTTGCTGAGGGTGGACAGGTAATGTGTAGGGATAATCAGGCAGTGCAGGAAGGAGCCCACAGCGAGGGCACCTGGGCACCTGCGGTGTCCATCGGGGAGACCCCGAGATCGGGGAGCCCAGGGCGGGGTGCCCAGGGCAGGGCGCTCGTGGTCTCCCTGGGAGAGCCAGAGCGGGATGCTCACGTTTGGCTTCCTGCGAGGGGAAAGGCCTCCTGTGAAGGTGTGGCTTCCTCCTCGGATGCTGAGACCCTGTGTGGACACTGGGCTTCATCCTGAGCACCACACCTCATGGATGTTCAGTGTTCCTACTTCTCCTGAGGCCATCTGTCTTCACCTTCCTCCCGCTGCTGTCCCCTTCCTCAAGGCTAGGTCCCGGGGCAGCAGTCCTCCTCTTCTCCCACCCCTCTCCCCCTTCCTCCGCTCCTCCCTCACTCCTTTCTCTTGACGACTCTGGCTCTTCCCCAAGCCTCCCTCAGCGGCTCCACAGGGCTGAGGGTCAGGAGAAGACGGGTCCTCCTGTGCTCCCCGTGTACTCTGTGCACTCCGCCCCCCGACCTAGCAGGGCCCCTTTTCACCTGATGCTGTGTTGGGGGAGATGCACACCCTCACTGTGCCTTCTGGGCATGGGTTAGTTTGGGGGCATGTGCAGGCAGGAGCATCCGTGTCCCCAAGGGACTTCAACACAGTGCCCACTGATTTCATCAGAAGGGCAGCTGGGTCCTGGCGTGGGAGGATTGTGGACCCTGAGGGGCCTTTTCTGTCAGTGTTGGCCTGTCCTTTCGGGGTTGGGACATGAGCGGTGATTGAGTGCTACCCCTCAGATGGCGCACCCCACCGGGATGCTAATTGCATCCCAGAAATGGAGCAGTTACCCCTCCTGTTGTGATAACCATTTCCGGCTGTCGGCCGGCCAGGTCTTACTCAGCATGCGCCCTCCCATCTACTAGCGGGTTTGTGGGGATCGACTGGGGCCTGTATTTTTATTGCTCCTTTTGTTAAGCTTAAACAGTCTTTTGTTTGTACAAATGCGGCTTTATGCAGCCAGCAGAAACAGATCTCACACCTTGAGAAGCTATTTCAGGGGCTCATTTTCCCGGGGTGGAGAATGCTCAGGGTACCAAGTGCTCCGGACCCCAAGTTGCTCCTCTTCCGATCCTTCTACTGAACCAGAATCCACGCAGTGCTTGTAAAATACAACCAGGACTGCAGCATGCGCCCCCTCAGCCGTGTGCTGCTTCCGCTTACGATGTCCTTCGAGCACTCATCCGCATGGACGCAGGCACGAGCTACCCAGTCCTGGGCCTCTCCCTGACGACTGTCAGGGCTTTGTGCTTTGCTGTGGCCCGCAAGCCTGCACGCGCTCTGTCCACTGTCATCGGTGGTCATCCGTGCACATCTGAGGACATCCCTGGAGATGACTTCTTGAAGTCGAATATGATTTTAATTTTGATGATTATCTTGGTCCGGTTTGGGCTGCAATGAAAATACCTCAGACTGGGGAGTGTATAAGAAAAAGTGCTTTTGTAGTTCAGGATTCCGGTAGCAGGAAAGTTCAAAAATCATGGTGCAGCATTTGATGAAGGGCCCCTGGGTGTGTCACAGTGTACAGGTGGTATCACTTGGGAAGAAGGGAGAGAGAGAAAGGGAGAGAGAGAAAGAGAGAGAGAGAGAGAGAAAGTCTGATAATGGGTCAGCTCCACTCTTCTATCAACCTACTCTTACAGGAACTGCCTACTCCTGTGAGACCTAACCCACTTCCTGAGGCCCGCATTAATCCCTGCACCTTTACACATAGACCTGTGGAGACTTGAGTCTAGACAGGTCTAGAAGCAATAGGGGTGGCAGGGCGGTACTGGAGGAGAATCCG